CTGCAACTGGGTCCTTTTACACATGACTCTTAACTGTACAGAGCGTCTGGAGGTTAATGTGTCGGGGTGACAGAATAAACAGCTCAGGTGAGCTTCAGAAGCGTTGCATTAAACTGAGTGTTTAAGAGGTGCTGAGCTGTAAGGGGCAGGTGGGATTGGCCTCACACAACAGCTGTCTGCCATCTGAGTCCCTATATATCTGGCTGTGTCGGTCATTATAAGCTTTTATATAAATCACAAAGGAGTTTCATTGTACCTTCATTGCTTCTCAGCCATGAGAATAAAAGGAGACTTTTGCTTAACCTTCTGCGTCTTATATTTCCCCCGAGAAAAAGGCTATTGGTGAAGTTTACATGTTATGTTAATTTAAAGCAAGTTATTTTTATGATCATGCGATCAACACATCCTCACTGCAGAAACTCCAGAACTGTACCAACTGTGCTGTTGATTGGATCTTGCAGTCGTTGTCCGCACCAAGAAGTGAAAAGCTTCTACTTCAAGGTGTACAGTTTCCTTGTGGCGGGAGCTCTGGACTAGAGTATGGTCTCAACAACCTCAGTTGAGAGACCGGATGCTGTGAGCTGTGCCACGCCCACAACTTCCATAACTCCGGGCGGGGGTGAAGAATGGTGCCCCCCGCCTGAGAGAGGAGGTCCCTCCTGATCGGAATCTCCAGCGGAGAGCCGTTGAGGAGAGACACAAGATCTGAGAACCATACTCGGGCCGGCCAGAACGGGGCTACTAGCAGCAGATGGACCCCGTCCCGGCGTACTCTCTCCAGAACTCCCGGGAGCAGAGCGATCGGGGAAAAAGCGTACAGACGAAGCCTCGGCCACGTATGTACCATGGCATCCAGCCCAAGTGGGGCTGGATGTGTGAGGCCCCAGCGACGGGCCTTGAGACAGGAACCAAGGTTTCTTCCACATGTCTAAAGCACGTAAGCATCGCCGCGTGACCTTGATCGTGCGAAGCGGGTTCCCCCTCGGGGAAAACCCCTTGGTTCTGAGCCACCACTGCAATGGTCTCATGTACAGCAGGCCATGACACAGCTGCCATCAGACCCAGCAGTCATGGCAGGCAGTCCCCTCGAGAGCTGCTTGTGCATGCTCTGCTCCCAAACAGACGACGCACAAATTGAGTCTATCCCCACCCGAGAGATAGTGTGGGCAGGGAGGAACACACGACTTGAAACGCTGTCCGCTCGCCACAGATTTGGATTTACACTTAGGCATTTTGACTCGCTTTCTAACAGAGTAATTCCTGACTGACTGATAGTGCTTTGCATACACAGACACAGACACACAGACGCGCTCGCTGAAGAGCAGAAGCTAACATGTGCGCTTGCCGGATGCGCCTTTATGCTTCCTGGTTGCTCATGTCACCCCGCTCGTAACGTCTCGCTTCTCTATTGGACTGATTTCACACATGCTTCAATACGGTGTCTCGCCGGGGGCGTTCCCAAAACTCTCATCTTTTACTCAACTGCTGCCCAAGTTTTACATGACTTTCTTTCTTCAGATGAACACAAATGAAGATTTTTAGAAAAAAAAAATGTATCTGAATGCAAGTGGATAGTAACCCAAAAGTTGACACTTTGTAAAATATAAATGGTTGCTTCTGGCCAACTTTCATACACACGTTCATTAGAGTGTTGTGAAGTATCATGGAAACACATGGGAACGTCACTTCTCATGCAAGCTTCATGGACGTGCGTATGACAGTTGGCCGGAAGTGAATTAAAATATTAATATTTCACTTCAGAAGACACTGATTCATTCTCTGGGTTTACCGTCACATTCACTTTGTTTAGTTTACGACTTTTGGGTTACTATCCACATGCATTATACTCACAGAGATGGTTTATTTGTCTACAAATCTTTCTTTGTGTTCATCTGAAGAAAGAAAGTCATACACAGGGGTTGTACAAAATAATGTGAACACCTGGCAAATAGGCAATATTTCTTTGTTAAGGATATTTTACCAACATTTGCCTTTAATAAAGCTTCCAACCTTCTTAGAATAGATTCATACAACTAAACAGTCTCCAGTTGAATATTGTCTATCAAAACATCTGCCAGTTGTTTTATAGATGTTGAAGGAAGGGAATTTGATTCTCACTCTTCTCTTCAAAACTGCCTACAGTGGTTTATGATCATGACACCATCTTTTTCACAGTTTTAGCAGTTGCAGCTCTTTCATTTTTGGCTTTGTGAAGTTCTCTATGGTTGGTTTGTGTAGAAACAGGGTAGTTAAGGTGAATATTGAGGTTTGCTGTCACACTGCTGCAGTAGTTCTGTGTTATTTGGACACAATCCTTCTAAGGGCTCCTAACAGGCTTCCATGATTTGCTCTTTTTGGAAGTCTGACAAATCACCCATTTCACTCACGGCTTGTGCTAAACACTGCTGAACACAACGTATACTACACTGATTTACAAACTAGAGAATGCAGACAATGAAAAGTTAAGTAAAAGATAATCGCAATGTTTGTTTGTTCACTGAAGCTTACACAAATAATATTAACCACTAGAATAATAGGTGCTCACATAATTTTGTCCAACCCCTGTATATCCCTATTATTCAGTACATGAGTGATGTTGCCCTTTTAAGCATACGCATAAACACCCATGCATTGTTTCTCTTTTTTCCTAATCTCCTTTGCGTAAATGCCTGGCTTTTGTGTACATTCCCTGGTAATAAAAGTTTGTTTTCAAGAGGGTGAGTGAGGCTGAGAGAGAGATTGTGCTTGAAAGAGAGTCATTGGGAGATCTCAGGGTGCTGTTCTGCTTAACTTCCCCCAGTCAAAAGCTCCTCAGTGTGGATATCCAGGCTGGCAAATCAGCCTGTGCCCGCTGTTTACTGTACCGGTCACAAGGGCCACCGGAGCTGGAACAAAGGGGGGTCTGTTCCTATTGTCCTTCCCCAGAATGACAGCTCTCTGTTGGGCCGAGAGACGGACCGGGGTGCCCTGGCTCCCACATACAGGGATGGAGGACAGTTTTAACTGAAACCATGTCTTTCTCTTTTAAGCCTTCAATCAGACTCAATGTAAACACCTGCAGCCATTCACTGATTCTATCTGATGGAACTGGAAAGCGCTGTTTACATGGTTCAGGCTGCTACTAATAGGCATTTAACACTGATCGAGGCATAAAGAGATATTCAGTGCAATGCGGATGGATTAACCACATTTATTTTCATTGCAAATCAAAGGACTGAAAGTATTCCTAAATGAGAAATGAACACAACAAGGGGCGTAAAGCAAAGAGCGACTTCCTCTCCATCCATCTTCCCAAGACCTAAATCAAAGCAGCTGCTGTTCACATCTGGGACTGCCCTGTTCCCCTGGTGCTGAAGCCACTTTAATGAGTGTACCTGACACCTGTGCTCAAGGCAAAGCTGTTGCAATATCTCTGCAACTGGGTCCTTTTACACATGACTCTTAACTGTACAGAGCGTCTGGAGGTTAATGTGTCGGGGTGACAGAATAAACAGCTCAGGTGAGCTTCAGAAGCGTTGCATTAAACTGAGTGTTTAAGAGGTGCTGAGCTGTAAGGGGCAGGTGGGATTGGCCTCACACAACAGCTGTCCGCCATCTGAGTCCCTACATCTGGCTGTTTCGGTCGTTATGAGCATTTATATAAATCACAATGGAGTTCTCTGTACCTTCATTGTTTCTTAGCAATGAGATTAAATGGAGACTTTTGCTTAACCTTCCGCATCTTAAATTTCCCCCTAGAAAAAGGCTATTGGTGAAATTTACATTTACATAATTTGTTGAGGATTTGAACCCATTTAAAACCAAACTATGTAATATTTCTTAATTTCATGTTTGTTTTTATTAAGCACAACAAGCTTAAAGCTTAAATTTTTCAAGCAGGCTTTAGCTTCTTTTCACTGAAGGCATTTGGCAACACTGGAATTGCACTCAAAAGTGTAGGATAAGTGAGAACTTGCAGGGGCAGAGTTTAAACAGACTAAAAGATTGGAGATGTCCAGTATACGTCACCAGAGAGAATTAAATCAGTTTCACTGGAAAGGTCCAGTCATGATATTATAACAAGGCGAGTTTTCAATCCATGCCAGCTTTAAAGTCACAAAGCAAATTTTGCAATATTTGAAGCAAAAGTTAAACTTAACAGTTAAAAGAATCAATTTTGCCGTAGTGTCATCAATGAACCATTTAAATGAAAATCTCCACCAGTCCAGTTTGTTTTACAATATGAATAAGGTGTTCCCATCCGGATCAAGCTTTAAAGGCATGTGTGTACATGCAGCATTTGTAAGGAGTAGGCTATGCAAATTATTCAGTAGCCTTCACCGTAGTCAACTTTTTAAAGGTATTTCTGTTGAGGTTGATCTTTAAAACATTTTATATTTACACATTTGGCAGATGTTTTAATCTAAAGCGACTTACACTGCATTCAAAACGGGTTTATCAGCTTGGGAATCGAACCCATAACCTTTACGTAGCGCCATGCTCGGTTTAAACTAGTTTTAAAAGCTTTTGCGATATGTATTGAGCTGTGCAAATCAATAAGAAAGTGATTAATGATAACAGTATTTCTATAACGTTCTTGGTCGAAGCACTGAACAATACCACCTTATTTTGATTTTATCGGCTTATTACTTCTATTCAGACGGTTGTAGGCTACTTGACACGTCTGAAACAGACAAGCCTCCCATAATTTACAGCCAGCGTGTAATGTCCTCTCCTTGCTTTTGAGATGTTCTGATTGTAATCTCTACCCTCAGGTAAGATCTCCAGCACTACAGCTAATAACAGCAGTATAATTCACTCTCCTTGACATGTTGCAAGATCTTTACACAGCGAGACGCGCGTCGGGGCAATGTTGTCGCCGCAGGTGCATTTCTGAAAACGGGCATCCATGAAGCGCGTAAGCAGCCTCCACCCATCATTTCAGTTCAGTCAGTGACAAGCATCTGCGGAGATAACCCGACGGCCTCTCATACCTCCCACTCTCCGCTTTGTTAGCGGAGTTTATGCAGCTCCGCTTCGCTCCTCCTTCCTCCTCAAGTTTGCCATCTGTACTCGGAATCTCAGTGCGTCTACAGGTTGAGCGCTCTAGAAACGCAAAGGGTTGGTTTAAAACAAACGCAACAGGTTATAAGTGCGTTAATGAATCCGAGAGCGTTCTCGAGAGGGCGAAATGTGGGAACAAAATAACTAATTATACCAGCGATAACGTTTCAGTCATCACTTATTTGGATTGGCTCATTTATATTTGTGTGAAACTCTGCGCGAAAGTTCATCATGGTTTCGTTGCTGGATTTATGCGCTCTTGTTCTATTGCTCGTTTGGGGATATTGCGTCCTGGCAGACACGGGCTTTACAAACTTTACTCTGGACAACGAGGTCCACTCTAGTTTCATCCACCGGCGCTTGAAGAGCCAGGAGCGCCGGGAGATGCAGCGGGAGATCCTTTCAATCCTCGGGTTACCGCACCGGCCGCGGCCGCACCTCCACGGCAAGCACAACGCCGCGCCGATGTTCATGCTGGATCTGTACAATGCCATGTCCACTGAGGCAGACGAGGAGGGCTTCTCGTACCCCTACAAGCCCGTTTTCACCACTCAGGGACCGCCGATCGCGACCCTTCAGGACAACAACTTTCTGAACGACGCGGACATGGTCATGAGTTTTGTTAATCTAGGTAAGATGGTCACGCGCGCACTGACAGTCCTGGGATGTCAAATGCCATATTTTTTACCCTGCCAAGTGAAACTGCGACCACCTATGATGCTTATATTGAAACCAATATTAGGCTATGTTAAAATAAATTAAAATCCATACATTCTTGTTTACAGTGCAAATGCACTTATTTGGTCATAATGAGTGTTATGATATAAAATAATAATGCAATATTAATGGAGTTACATAATTCGAAAAAGAAGCACTCAGTTTTGACAAAAATGTCCATTTAATGAACTTTGTGACAAGGCGCTCTGGAATACTTGATTCTGATTGGTCAACTCATCAGTCAAAAATCTTTGTTTATAAAACGGATAGTTCTGGTCTTTGCTTCTGATTGGTCAATAGAGCCTTCCAGCTGTGTTATTTTCTACAATATATTGAAACAGCTGTGAGGCGAAACACCTGTTCACCAATCACAGCATTTTATTCTATTTTGTTGAGGCCCCTTCATGAGTTTGCTTAATAAAAGTGAAAAGCGAACATTCTTATAACAATATTTTGCCCTCAATGTTTTTATATGTAGAAACTGTTTGATGAAATCAATGAGACCATGCTACGGTTACTATAACTACCGATGGAAAATTACATCCTTGGGCTTTTTAGCCCAATTGTATCCTATCATTGAGAACATTATAGAAAAACATATTTTGGGGTCAAATTTGATGAATAGTTTTACAAGAAACAATTTAAATCTGCATAACTGCATAACATTTTAAGTGTTTGTTTAGATGTTCTTGACAATGTCACAAAGTCTGGTTCCAAAAGCAAAACTGATGTGGTTTGTTTTGGAAGGCAAAGAGCAACGAATGAAACTGCAGCGCTTGAATGTGAAACATCATTATGAGGATTATATTTCTATTCTATCTGATAGTCAGTTCAAATAAAAGTCAAAACTCAGATTGATCTTCTGTCTCATGTTTTGGCATCGACAGGAAAGACCTGCCACAGAAATCAGATAATAACAGGGCTGAGTGAATAATAACTGGCCAAAGAATGGGGATTTTCCCCCCCGAGAGTCTTAGATGTTTTATTTGTTCCTGGGCCAAATAGCACGCATAGTTCTCTCCTTCATTGTTTGTTTGATTTTATTAGGCCACTTATCTGCACAAAGTCTTAACCTTGGCATGATTTCCAAGCCCCTAATGCTGGGGGGACGCAAACCTATATTTGCATTGGGGAGTGATAATAAAGCGCTGTCGCATTCCCAAGCGTCTGCTGTCTCAGTGCCAGCTGTGTCCTCCGCTAATGTTCAGGTGTTCAGAGTTGGCTGTCTGGGAGCTCAACGGTCTCTTTATCTTCAGTTTTTTTCCCTCCGCAGTAATGATATCAGCTGACAGAGGCACAAGTGTTTTGCTAAGTGCAAAGTACGTCTCATGACTCGTTTGCTTAACTGCAGTGACAAAGCCTATGGGGCCGCACACATATACTCCTGCATTCAAAAGTGACGATGGAATGACCCTTAACTATGGAAACCATAGTTTCTGCCAATAACATTTATTGTTGCTACTGTAAAACCATGATACATAATATATACATATCAGTTTGATTAATGCCTTTTCCTCATCACCGTGGTAGCTACGGTTCACTGTTTTATTATAAAAACAATAACTGTAATAACTCTGGTATTTTGGCAACATGTCTTGTATGAACGCTCCCAGGTCACCATTCAAGCAGCTTTTAGTCATCCACCTTAACCTCCATCTAAAGTGTAATCTTTGACGCCGCCTAACTTTGCCTGCCTTAATGCTTCATAAGTACCTGACTTGTCTTATCAGCAGGCCTGTTAGTTTCCTCATTAAAGCGTCATCATCTGCACGCAAGCACAACACTGCCATGCAAAGTGTGATTTATTGTCCGATAAGAGCAATTATGTTGTTAAGGGTGTGATTTGTATCGCTGTTTATTGGTAAGATGGGTTGGATGTGATAGCTAAGTGATGATCTGAATTCTTCTGAAGCTATAAAACCTTTATGACATTCCAAACCTGTATGACTTTCTTTCTTATGCAGACATAAAATAAGATATTTGGGCTGTTTTCGTCAAAGACAATGTTAAAAGAGAGAGAGAGAGAGAGAGAGAGAGAGAGATAAAAAAAAAATCAGGTTTGGAATGACATGAGGGAAGAGGACAGAATTAACATTTTTGGGTAAACTGGCCCCTTAAATACTGTTCAAGAATTAAGAACATATTTTGTTTAGAACAATGAAAAGAAATGATTAATCTGAGAAAGGCTAATGTGTGTGTGTGTGTGTAAGTAAGTGTATGACAACAGGGAGGGAGGTGACAGTGTTTCTTATTCTGAAATGTGTAATTATCCAGAGGACTGCTGTATTGTGTCTATTTTGGACAAGCACTGACACAGATGGATTTGACCACAGACGCTCGCAGATTCAAGGGCCTCTCTCTCGTTCTGCTCCGCTTTCATCCTTCCCGCCAGCTTTAAATGAAACAAACTGCTGCAGCTGCTCTATTCAACCAAACTGAAGTGCCACAGCGCACCTTTTATATTAAACACAGTGTCAACAGTGACTTTCCCCTTTGGCATTTTGCAGGAAGAATGTGCAGATATGTGTACTGTATATATTTACTTTATTTTCACCATGGTGGTTACGTAGTTGCTATATTGCATTAGGCCCAGAGAACACTGCATGGATGCCATACGATACGAGGCGTTTTGCTTTCTTCACTGAATCTGCGATCCATAAACCTGACAGTTAATCATAACAAAGATGTTTTACATAAGCAAAATGAACACAAGGAAAACAAAAAGAGTTCACACAGAAACCATATGCGGTCCAATAACATCTAAAGAGATTTTAATGTTTACTGGAATATGATTTTCTCCAAATCCCTTCAAATTATGAAATGCACATTATGTTCCCAATGGTTTTAAATAGGAATGCATTATTTTAGCTGTTTTTTTTACTTTTAGAGATCCTTTTGGTGAAGAAAAGCCCCTGCATTCAGTTGCAGCTTGCAAAGTTTTAAAAGCCTTCTTCAGGCATTTCCTTAAAGAAAAGAAACACAGCACATCTTGATTGAATGCATCTTGCTCATTTGCCCTAGTATTTGATTATCTGCATCGTGGCTTTGCTAAAACAAATGCATGTCTTCATGATACGGTCACAGCATGTTCACTGTGACAGAAAATCTGCTTTGTGAGTTCAATACCTGAATCTCGTGATTCGATCAGTCTTATTGAATCTTTTGAAAAAATACACTGATTCACCTGTGGCATTTTGAGAAAAGGCAAGTGTTTTTTTTTTTTCAGAAGCAATGGAAGTGTCAGTGTCTGTGTCTGCTTCCTTATAAGCCAGTCAGTGACTGGCAGCATTTTTGTATGAACGTCATCACGTCTAATGATCTAGAACAAATTCAAATTGGTTAGAGATATTTAGAACAGATATTTAACCCTCCTGTTGTGTTGGGGTCAATTTGACCCACACCCGATTTTCAAACTGCTCGAAATACTTGTCAAACTATTAATTTTTTTCTTGAAAGTTGGTGAATATTTCTCATTTAGGGTCATGAATGTGCAAGCAAAGTTTCGACGCATAGATATGTTTTGGAAAGGCTGTACAAAAAAGTAATACAACTTTTGACCTCCATTGGTTTCCATGCAAATTGCTAAAAAGCAACACTTTGGAAAAATGCTAAAAAGTCAGGTATAAGAACCAGAAAACCTTCATTGTTGCTTGTTAAAGGCTAAAATATGAAATAAATTATGAAATGTAAGTCTCAAAGTTTACTCGAAAATGAGACTATTCTTTTGAATCATCCAAGAAAAGTTCACTTTTTCTTTATCTAGTTGAGTTTCAAAGTCAAAAAATCTCTCAAAGGATGTTTTTAAGATTATTTAGTTTGCAGCACTAAAAAAAATGTGAGAAACCCATTTTGCCCTCACAAGGGTTTGAGAAACAGAAAAAAAGGCAGATGAAGTACAAATAGCAATAAATACTATACAAATAAATACAAATAATGTAAGATGCTATACTTGTAGTTATTTGCACCTTTAAGCAGTCATGAAAAAAAAGCAGATTTTTGAACATAAAAATACAGTATGTGGGTCAAATTGACCCCTAACACAATAGAAATAACAAGAAAAATAGAAGGGAATTATCACATTTCTCACATATTTTATATTTTTAGTCTCTGAGAAGCTGCAATACATTTTTTGTGTTTTTGTATAAATCTTTAGTAGTTTTTATAGTGCCTATTTTTGGTAAATTCACCCTTCGCTGGGAATTTGATTGACAGGGCGATCTGACCAATCGTAATGCTGAATCTGCCATTTTGCCATGTATTGACGTCTTTCCGCGGTTGAAACAAGATACCTTCTGATGTTCATTCATGTTTATTTTGTGCTATAACTAGTAAAGAGGAAGAGATTATCGGTTCTCGTGCCGCTACAGCAATCTGTCATGACACATTAAAGAGCCACAAAACTGTATTTATTTTTGAATTTCTTAAAAAAAAAAAAAGACAAAATTTGAAAGCTGAGACTTTATTTCATATCAGAAGGAACCTGCTCTGTCTTGTCTGATGCCATTGTCAGTGTCCTTTTTGCTCCGTGATGTATTTTTCACTGCGTGAGAACATGATGTGTGGTGTGAGAGCGCCATGGCTTGTCGGACGTAGCAACAGTAACTAAGGAGGGCGGGTCTTTGCGAAGAGTCAGTTGCAACCAATGTTTTTGACACAAGTTGGAGAAATAGATTCATACAGTGCAAATGTAACTTAATGGACATTTTAAAACAGATTTACTCCTTTTAACTGCTCCTTTTCGACTTATCTTCTTACCTGCAAATGCAAACTGAAGTTTTTCAGATGAAGCGACCAAAGTGTTTCTCATATATGGCGAAAATAAATTGTACTTCTTGCACCCTCCGTCTCGATCACTTGCACTCTTTCCTTCTGAATGAAGCTGGGTGGCATTCGCTGCTTCTAAAATATTATGAC